TTAGTTTATCCGGAAAAATTCCATGTATTAAACACTGGTTAATAATTTGAGATAAAGGTTCGGCAATGACATTAACAGTGGCTTTTATCAATTTAATTGGGATCTCATCCCAGCCAACGGATGATTTGTTTTTTAGTGACAGAACAATCTTTTTGATTTCCTCCACATTAGTTAGCCTGAGGCTGCACAAGGATATCCCATTATCATTACAGATATGTTTCACTGAAGCATGGACTCCATTGACAGTAGCCTTTTGAACATTTAAGTTACTTACTGTATTCGAAAAAAAATTGTTAAAAACTTTATCAATACTTCCAGGATTACCAAGCTCATAACCATTTGTATCTTTCAAAACTATTCTTTCTTTTGGTTTTTGGTTTGTATTCCAAGCTCTTGATTTACAATTTGCCAAGCTGCCTTAGTTTTGTTTTCTGATGTTTTTATAAAACTGCTATTCGCTAGTAATTTTGCTTTTTTTACAACTTTGTTAAATATGTTTTTATAATGCTTAACATATGTAATAAACTGTTGGTCATTACTGAGCTTGGCTTGCATGTGCAATTGTCGTTTTTTTTTTTACTTGAAATTTGTATACCTTGAGTAATCCAGTTTACAGAGAAAGACTTGGTTTTAGAATTATTACTATTATTTTTAAGAAACTTTGGAGGAAATATAGAATTAAAAGTCAAAAGAAAATCACTTAAAAAGTTACTAAAGTTTTCATTTGGGTTCAGGACTGGATCAAATGTAAAATTAATATTTTGGTTTAAATATGTACAAAATTCATCAATTTTTCTATTTGAAATTATTCTTTTGGTATATGAACTTGTATTATTATTACCAGTAGTCAATATATTCTTATATTGCCCAGGGAGGCTCAGAAATATGGCGTTATGGTCAGATAAACCTAAATCATTATTCAATTTGTGGTCTACTTTATACATTTTTTTTGTAATCATGTTATCTATACAAGTAAATGAATTGGCAGTTATTCTAGTTGGCTCATTAAACTGCAAACAGAAACCATTACATTCGACAATTTCCTTAAACCTACTTGTGATTGCATCATCTTTTAAAATGTTTATATTAAAATCCCCTGTTATAAAAACATTTTTCCTTTTGGTTTTTTTTTGTAAACTAACAAGTAACTTTTCAAGTTTGTCCAAAAACAATTTACTTGAATTATAATTTGGCACTGTATAAATGGAAAAAAATACTGAATTGAAATCTACAAGTTCGATAGCGGAACATTCAAAAATAAAATCTTCATTTAAATAAGAAAACTCCTGTACAGTTAAGTATTTACAATTATTATCAACTAATATACCTGAACCACCCCTTAGACCACTATTTCTGACATAAGAGTCGGCCCTTCTAAAATTATCTATTGTGTTGAGTAAAGAAATAGAATCATTATCCAACCAAAGTTCATTCAATGACATGACTTTAATATTTAATTTGGACTGTGATAAAAATAAATTGAGCTCTGATTAGTAGAATTTAACCCTTGACAATAATTGTAGTGCATTACTAAATTAAATTTACTGTAAGTATCACTGTTTTTTTATGAATCTGAGCTAATATTTCTCTGAGCTTTACTGTTGAGATAGTAAAATTTGTCTAGAACTAGTTTAGCAGGCATTTGGTCTTTGTCAGGATATCTTAGTTTAAAGACAAATGTAAGCTATTATATAAGGAGGAATCTACATCTATCACTGGATTGCTCTCACCACTTGACACAACACATTTACTCTGCTTTTTGGCACTTGACACTGATGGTTTCCTCTTCAACACCTCATTGTAGTTGAGATGACCAGGAACCGTTCGGTAGCCTGTGGAGCCAACATCAGGAACTTCTATTGCAGAGGGATGTTGTTGTGTTGAGGGATGCTGATCTGGTGATGACTGCTGTTGAGGGCTACTAGGTGGTGATTGTAGCATTGTAGCTGAAGTTGAAATTGTTGTTGTGAAATCATTTCTCTTGATTGTGATACTTTTTGTAATTCTTGTTGAAGTTTGAGGGTGAATTGGGGATGGGAGAGTCCATGATGGAGAACACGCTGAGCTCCTGGTTGCATGTTGGTGACAACTATGACCAGTAAACCGGTGATATCATGAAACTCGCTTATCTTCATGGCAAAATGCTCAATCTGCACAAGATCTCGGACACATCCCATTGGGGAGCAGATTAGCACTCTGAAGCTCTTGGTTTTAATATTGTCTGTCAGATCTTTGAAAGCAGAGTTATAAGCATCCAGCGTGGGTTTGCTATTGAAGTGTTCTTTGGTTATAAGGCTGTATACCGTTGCTTGTTTAGGATTGGTCCTTTGGCATGTCAAAAAGTTTGTTAGGCAATCTTTTAAGTCAGGCTTCCCAAATAAAATAAAAGGGTTTCCTCAAAGCCACGGCCACACCCGCATCATTCTTCTTGGGTGATGGAAGTCGCCGGAGATGGTATGGGCGAAGGCTACAGAATTACACATATGAATCAATATTTCTCATGGATTGGTAACTACTTAACTGTAGTAAAACACAATCACACATCTATGATTCTCTCCATCCTCAATATTTTGATAGTTTGGATTCAATGCCGATTTCAAAATTGCACCAACATCGAATATTTTTGATCAAACAATTTTCACTATTTGGCCTCTGTGATTACTTTAAAATCCCAAGATTCCCTTCGCTAGATTGTAAACTTACTCTAAAAGACGGAAACGAAAATTCCCCAATACCATATTTTGGGTCTTCCAACATCAGAGAATCTCATTTTAAAATTTGACATAGTGTCCACCGATAAGGAGACCCGGGAATTATGCGTGAATTTTGAATTCCTACCGGGAGTTTTCAATTTACCCCAATCCCTCATGACAACGATGACGTTTCCGTGACCGCTAGAGACGATGATGATGTCCTCACGCCCATGGGAGATGGTCAATATTTTGCCGCAATCGTGGGAGACGATAACGATGTCTACACAACCGCAGGAAATATCAGAATGTTGCTGCAATTGAGGGAGACGATGATGACATCCATACGACAGCGAGAGATGATAATTATGACTACACTGGTGTTATGGATGATCAGAATTTGGCCACGATCGTGGAAGACAATGTTTATGTCCACATTACCACCCCGATAATTAACATTTTACCATGATCGCAGAAAATGTTCATGAGACTGCAGAAGACGATTATGACGTCTAAAATGTAGCCCCGGGATATTTTCATGGTTTTGCCATAATCGCGGATGATAATGACGATGTTACACAACCGCTGGAAATGATTATAATTATGCCACGATCACAGAATACGATTTTAATTGTTGACAGTTATGATGTTTTTGTTACCGTTGAGCGATATTTTGCCACGACCACAGAAGACAGTGGTGACGTTTCCCACGGCTGTCCCAGTGACGGTTCCGTAACTGAAGAAGACACTCAGGATTTTGCAGTGATCGTGGAAGAAGGTGATGATTTCTTTATGACAGCGGTAGATGATCTCGATATTACCTCGAGTTTAGATTGATAGACAATTTCAGGATGGCACACCTCTAGCAATAAAGTTTTCTATTGATATTTTTTTGTAATATAGCCTAATTTACCTTTGATATGATTTATTTAATGTGTTTAGAAGGGTTTAAAACTTAAATTGGCTAGTTAGAATGTTCTCATTGCTGCATTAATTTTTTCTGTAGGCTACTTGAAAAATAACCCATAACTCCAAAATACAAAATAAATTATGGAAGTACATAAAGACAGGGGTTAGTGTAGTAATCCAAACAGAAATTTGGTAAAATTTTAAAAATGGTTTAAATTGATTTTTAGCGAATTTCCCTATAGGGAAGTAGCTATTACCGTAGGTGGCATGGTAAGACCTAGACCTGGGACCGATTTACTTTTTCATTTTGATGTCCCCAGAGGCCAAAAACACCATTCGTTCAAATTTTTATATATGTATAGATTTATATATATATATATACGTCCGTGATTTTGTCCGATTTTGATGAAATTTGGTTTAAAGGTGTAAAGCGGAATAAACTTGAATGAGTTCGCGAACCAGCACGATCGGACCATGGGAACGGGGCTTTACGGGGGGTTTAATGGGGTAAAAATTGGTTTTTCTCACTTTTGACCCTCAAAACACAAAATTTCCCAATTCCCCTTTAGATCTTTTTAAAGAGCTTAAAAAAACTAATAATTTAGTATATAAAAGTATTTTTGTTCGATTATTATTAACCAAAAAAATTTAAAAAATTGTAAATTTAAAATTCCCATGTTATTCTTACGGAGAATATTGTCAAATGTTGTAGTTTGCTTGTTTATGGATATATTTTGATCAAACTTGGCAAATTTATTTATTTTGTACTAAGCTATCAATACTTTACTCAAAAACACACTTTATTAGTTTCTTTGTAGCAGCAATCCTAGGTACTCGTTAAACCTAATGTTATTAAAATATATTTAACTGAAAATCAATTCAGACAAATGGAAATTTGCTTAGTCGGCAGGTTTGCTGCGGCGGGGGTATTCAGGTTTTGGTATGGAGAATCGATCAATTTTGATATTGATAAATTACTTTTTTTTGATAAGTTATTCATAAATTGCAGGTTTAAGAATTAGTTTTTTCAAAGTAATATTTAAAAATTGCATTCTTGTGTCTAGAAAAATTACATTAATCACTAATATAATTAATTTTGATCTTTTAACTGAGTAAGCTTTTCTTATTAGGCTAACTAAAATAGCAAACTGTGTTAGCCCTAAGCATTGCAGGGGTTGGCGTGATAAAACGTGCTGGAAAGTTTGGTATAAAAAGTATGACCTGAACTACCTGGAATTACTCGTGAATTTTTTCTGGTAGGCCTGGTGGACACCCTGTTTGAGTAGGGACCTTGAAATCAAATCTAAAAATACCCTATGAGGATCTGTATATAAGATACTTAAGTTTAGATTTTGCTACAAAATTCATTAACAAAGTACAGTACTCTTGCGTTATTTCCAGGTGAGCCATGAGCGTGTCCACACCAGGGATCGACCGTTTGAGTGTACTGAGTGTGGACAGCGGTTTCCTCAGAAGAGGCATCTTTCAACACATATCAAGTTCCATTCTGGAGAAAGGCCATTCTCATGTCAGGTATATTAAATTAGCCTATATAGTGTGAGTTTTAATTTGATTAGTACAACTATAGTACCTCTAGTGGGGGAGCAAACTGGTCTAGTGGTTAGAGCGTGGGACTTTTTGGTCCCTGAGGTCCCGGGTTCAAATCCCGCCAAATCACCAATGGATTTTATCTAAGTGATAGCATAGACTAAGCAACACAAGTAGACTCCTCGTCCCATTGTAAATTTTGAAGCTTGTTTTTCGTGTCTAGTTCATGTACATCAACACTGATCGCTGGGGCAGACGAAATTTTGTTTCTATTATTTTAGGGTTATTTTCATGATTTGTGCTTTACCATTTGGTTATATAACTAGGAGGCCAGTTATTGTTAATGATTATATTGTTTTACTTAATTAAATGAGGCTTTAAATGACTGAAATAACAAGAAACAAATTGTAAACAAAACACGACCCCTTCAGTTGGACGTTGTAATATTTCATTTAATTCATTCATTTTTTTTAGCATGAAGTTTCTTAATATGTTAACTTTTGTTCATACACGTTTGTTATTAGTCATTCCTCAGAAAGGCTGGCCTAGTATTCATTTTCCTAATTTATACAATTTCATTAATCTGTTCAATTAATCATTAATAATATTCTTTCCATAGCCTATATATATATATGTATATATAATTTTTTTTACAAAACCCAAAACTTGTTTATTTATTAAATTTGTAAGAGAATTGCAATACATCAAAATTTCTTATAATATCATTTCAAAATCCTATATATAATACGAGTAAAGTTTGAATACTTGTTACTTCGATCTGGGAATCGGCTCATGAAAAACGTTTATATTTACGTTACGGAATAACTAAGTTCTGTGTCAAAAATAAGTTTTAGACCAGTGGTATAGCCAGGAAAAATCTATTTTCGCCATAATATGAGTACAAACTTTTGAAAATTTAACATGGGCCTTATGAGAAATCATTCCGTCATTATTGTCATTTGTTTACAGTTTACATCATTTTAAGACATAACTCGACGTTCTGTACCCACGGGCACCTCAGCTTGCGCATGCGCAGAAAGCTCTTGAAGCACTTTCCGAGGTTACTGTTGTATTCTGATGTGTATTAGCTTCTGACTTACAATCTTGTCAACTTTGCCGACTCGACTTTGCTCCAGTTCATCAAATCGTTTCATGTATAAGAATTTGTATTACATTATACAACTTTCCAGAGTAATGAGTTTCTAATCCATTAATATATTATTCTCAGCTTTATTACTGTTTATTTAATACTTTTACCAATATAAACGAGCGATATATCTTATTTTTTATATTTTTAATGGTTTTATTAATAATTATCATCACTAAATTACTCTTTTCGTTGGTTGCTGTGTCGTGTCGTTGTCAATAATGTCGTCTTAAGGTCGATTCACACACAGTTACGGAACGTCACAGTCCAGTCACTTCAGGCACGTCACAGTTAACAAAAATATCCTTTAATGGAGTTTCTATTGCGCTGTCTACACTTATCCGTTGCAGTCGGGTCAGTCGCTCTACCAGCATCCGTCAGTTAATTTCAGATTTCTTTCCACCGATACTTTTATATTGTTCGGACGCCTGACAGACCGGTAATAGTGTTATTGTTGTTTAAATGGTTGTATTTATATTTTGAGTACAGTTTGTAACAATCAACAAGATGGACAATGAAAACTTGATAGAATGTAGGTTTATAATTTAAAACTTTCGACTGTAAATTACTGTGAATTTTAGAGACGGAAGACTGACTGAAACCAACTGACGGACTGTTGACTGAGAAATTGCGGATGCAACTGAGACTGAACTGTTACTGGACTGTAACGGAACTGTGACTGAACTGATATGTGTGAATCGACCTTAAAGGTCGATTCACACACATCAGTCACGACACGTTGCAGTCCAGTCACTTCAGGCACGTCACAGTTAACAAAACTATTCTTTAATGGATTTTATATAGCGCTATCTACACTCACCCATTGCAGTTCCGTTAGTAGCTCTGCAGGCGTCCGTCAGTCAATTTCAGATTTCTTTTCACCGATATTTTTGGATTGTTCGGACGACTGTTGGAACTGTTTGAGGTTAGAAAAAAGTGTTATTGTTATTTAAATGGTTGTGTTTATATTTTGAGTACTGTTTGTAACAATCAACAAGATGGACAATGATAATTTGATAGAATATAGGTTTATAATTTAAAAAATTGGACTGTAAATTACTGTAAATATTAGGTAAAATTAATTGACTGAGAAATTGTGGATGCAACTGAGACTGAACTGTAACTGGACTGTAACGGAACTGTGACTGAACTGATATGTGTGAATCGACCTTGATTCTGACTGATGTCAGATGTTACACTGAATCGGTTACAGGGATAATAATTAATTGTAACTAGAGGTGTGCGGATAGTGAAATTTCATTTCGGATCGGATTCGGATTGGATAGTTGAGGCTCGGTTCGGATCGGATCGGATATTGGGAGGCTCGGATTCGGATAGTTCGGCGCGGTTAATAATAAGCTGCATATGTATTTTTAACCTATAAAACAATGTAAAGCTGTGTAAATAAACTTAAATGACGATTTTGAACTATAGAATTTCAAATTAGCCAAGTCCACAGTTTTCTCTCTCTTGAAAATCACAATTCACAACATTTATTTTCAAAAGTTGGTTGCTTGAATTAAGTACACTAGCAGCCAAAATCTTCATACAACACCTTAGCTCAGCAGGACTGATGTCAAACGTTTGGGCTTGTTTACTTGAGGTTATGTTTTATCTTGATTCCTGGTTCTCACAAGCCAAGGAGTTCGATCTCAAGTTTTCACATTGTATTTCCTTACGTTTTTGGAACGGATTATTGGCCTTAAGTGGCATTTTGCGGGTTTGCCAAGTTTAGAAAACATCACTAATGCACTAAGATGGGCTCTAGCTCACGATTTGATGTTGGGCAATTAAATTAGACTTTATAACTGTGTAAAAGGTGTGTATCCCTGAATTTATAAATTGCATTCTACACTTATTCACTGCCAAACATAATTCAGTAGAACCTTGATGAACCGAGAATTACACTAGCCTACATAACTTCATTACCCCAAGTAAAATACCAAGATAATTTTTATAATCTCACTCAGTGGGGAACCCAATACCACAAATCAATATTTTAAATGAATACAAATATTTGGTAATAATTGTTTTATTAATATTCCCCTTGAAATTTCAATTAATTTGGTGTAAAATTTGACAAAAATCGGCCATTTTGACCGATTATTAATACAGTACCGAATACCAATAAAGTAGTCCATTCATTGGTAATTAAATAATAGGTAAAAATTAACCGATTTTCGTCAAGTTTTACCCCCCTGCTGTGCGCTATGTCACAAAAGCTGATAACGACATGGGTGATTAGTAACCATGGCAACTTGTTGAATGCGTGATGAAGGGAAATCCAAGAAATAGAAGAACAAAGAGAAAGAATAACGACATTGTTATCTTTATACCCTTTTTACAATTTCCGTTATTGTTATCTTTATGTAAGATTTTATGATTTTGTTTTATAGGTTTATAAAATAATTCTTTTTAACTACGGGAATATCAATTTATGATTAGGGGTCTGCGGTGCACCGAAAAAGTCGGTACGGTACAAGCTTAATTACCGTCATCGGTTCGGTACAGCATTTTACACGGTACAAATTTGGTTCGGTACAGCCTAATTATAATAATAAATTACTTTCAGTTTACTATCGTAGTCAACGACAGTTGGTTCCCGAGCACATAAAAGTCTTATCAGATGTTTGTTTACGATCTTCATAATTTATTACTAGGGTGATGATGCGATAAAAACCCCATTATCAATTCCAAATCCATTAACATTTTATCACGACAATCGTTGTTGTATTCAAGTACTTCCAAGAACTGTTTAGTTTTATCACTTTATTTCTTTACGACTTTCTCCAATTCTATTTTATCATAAAAATAATAGTTTTATGATGACTGATAAACGTTATCTCTAACTCAAGTTTTTATTTTCGTAGATATTCAATTTGCCGCTGGCCATTGCCTACTGCCATAAAACTGTTTATGGCTACACATTAAACTTGTAACTAATCTACAATCTTATTTTATTAGTTAAAATATTTGTTATAGATAGTTTAATTTCAACATCAAAATACAATATTGCACAATCGTGATATTTCATTGACCTTTATTATGCATCCGGTATTGCTGTTTCAGAAGTGAAGCACGTTGATAAATTATAAATTGATATTCCCGTAGTTAAAAATAATTATTTTATAAACCTATAAAACAAAATCATAAAATCTTACATAAAGATAACAATAACGGAAATCGTAAAAAGGGTATAAAGATAACAACGTCATTCTTTCTCTTTGTTCTTCTATTTCTTGGGTTTCCCTTAATCACGCATTCAACAAGTTGCCATGGTTACTAATCACCCATGTCGTTATCAGCTTTTGTGACATAGCGCACAGCAGGGGGGTAAAACTTGACAAAAATCGGTTAATTTTTACCTATTATTTAATTACCAATGAATGTACTACTTTATTGGTATTTGGTACTGTATTAATAATCGGTCAAAATGGCCGATTCTTGTCAAATTATTGCACCAAATTTATTGAAATTTCAAGGTGAATATTAATAAAACAATTATTACCAAATATTTGTATTCATTTAAAAGATTGATTTGTGGTATTTGGTTCCCCACTGAGTGCAGCCGAGCGGCACTAATGAGGGTCGGACCTTCTTGGGGGTGAACAATAGACGGCTTATCAGACCCTCCCCTCCCCCGTGGTCTGGAGAAAGCTTGTAAACAAACTATTGCACAAGCATGACTTGACATTGGGCTGCTTCAACTATAATTTTGTCAAATGAACTGTGATGTTTCAAAATCAAAAACAATAATTTGGGACCATACTGCTTAACAATAATGGACTGCAATTATATTGTTGAACTGAACATACAATCCATTTTTAACAACCTAAGA